GGCGGCGCGTCGGTGGGACAGCCTCCGGAGCCCCCGAGTGCGGGCGAGGTGCGGAGACGGAAATACGGGAAACCCGGGAACCCGGAGGATTTCCGAACTACGTGAGACCGTAGAGCGGCCAGCCTTCATTCAGACGCCGGCAACAGGCGGTGGGGGAGCTCTGCACCGCAAAATGTTATCCAAGTACCTCCCCCAGTTTCGCTGACCTTCTCTTAAAGGCCCATCACTGCGGCCAGATCTGTTCATTTAGCAACCTGTTTGTTTTCATGATTTCTGGCTAGCAGCCTTTACATTGGACCAGCAGGCCTCGCTAGTACTTTTGTTCCAGTCGTCTGCGTATTTGAGATGAAACTGCCCTGAGATGAGAGTCCTTTTTGGGTTTTATTATTGCACAAAATTTCTTTAAAGAGTGTAGGCCCATGTCCACGTTTCGCTACCGCAGGCTTTGTAGTTTTGTTTTTAAGTAGAAAAAGAAAACTACAATTCAGAAATTTTTTATTTTATTGATATTCAATTTACATAACAGGCTCAAATTTTATTAACTGAATTCTGCATCCGTACGAATTTAGTCTTAATTTAATAAAGCAACTTACTTTGGTAATCTTCCTTGAGGTATGTTATAAAATACAACTTTTAAAGAAACATCACAAAAATATTGTTTGTCGATCATTTTTGTGACTTTAACAGAGAAATCTTCATCTTGCTCACAGCCAGACACTACATAAATCCTTACCAAAACAAAACAAACCCAGGTAGGCCCACTGATACCCCTAGGTATGCTTAGTTGGAATTCACCCAGAGAAACCCATTTTCCCTCTAACGGAGTCAATACTTTCATTCTCTACAGGTATCTCAAAAATGACTATAATAATGCCATGTGGCTTTGGGGACTCTGGGGGAAAATGAAACATTTAATTAAAGGCAATAGTTGTTCAAACAGAATGTAGATACATTATATACATATATATGTATATAGATATACATGTATTTTTTCCCCAGAGAAAGGGCTCGAGACAAAACAGTAAAACACTTCAACTTTCCCTAACTCTTGAAAAAATATCTGATTTTAAGTCAGTTTACAAAGTTCTTATTTTAATGAGCCACTTGTATGGAGACACATATGCATAAAAACTTTTTATGAAAGAGCCAAAGCTTGTATCTGAGTTACAACTTCAAAGTCAGTAGACTTGTACTGGGACATACGTGCCCCAGAAGGTTTTATTAAAGAGCTAAAGTTTATGTCTGACTTATAACTTACCAACCAAAACAAGTCACACACATACATAAAGAAGGAAGCCATACATGGTCACTGAAGGTACACAAATTATTTTCAACCAGATGGGTCGCTTCCACCATGAAAGACTGCTAAGCTGAAGCCAATCTTTGTTCAAGTAGGCATTCGATCTGTCACTGAATGCCCAGATTTTAACATAACCTTCTGGTTTTTAAAACTCAGAGGATGGTTCTTCCTTTTGACTCTTGGTATCCTACATGAGGAGGCAAGATAATCCCACCTCTGATAGTTACCTTAAGAAAAAACAACTATTTCTTTCATAAAGATACAACATGGCGGAAGATCCTTTCTGATAATCATCATCAACATGCAGATTCAAAAAGTATGACTATTAAATTTGCATGCTAAATAAATGAAGACATTATAATATTTACAGTACACAAACCTGGAAATGTTATATGTCTGAAAACAGGACTTTTAAAATCAGTAATGACATAGAGGTTTCCTATATTGTCCTCTTTATCCTCTTGGTCTTATCTCAGTTATGAAAGCAGCCTATTGGACCTGTACAATGTGCTAACAAAGCATCAGACTTCACTGTAGAAACGAGACCATACCACTCCGTTCAGGGTGTGTCACTTTCTTTTTTTATCAGAGAAATTCAGTTCTCCAATATACTTCATGGTTCACTGAAGAAACTCACAGCTTAAAAATATCTGTAAGAAGTGAAAGATGGATTCTTAAGGCCAGCAGAAACTAATTATCAAATAAATGTTACTGAAAGAAATGTTCATATTAGAAATCTCAATAATGAAAAAACATAGAAATGTTCTATGCCAAAATCCTTCCTTCGTCTAGTTTTCTTCCAGGTATTTTCTTTTAGTTCCAAGTAGCTCTGTGGTTTTAGTCCTTCAGATCACTAGCTTTCAACAGCCATGCCAGTCTTATTCTTATTTAGTAGATCAAATGTTTTCTGAAGCATAATGAGTGAGCTCTTCAGCTGTAAACAAAATTAATTTTTTAAATCAGATTAAGTTTTCTAATCAGATTTGAAAATTTCTATTTTTTATGCCCAAAATTTACAGTGACACTTAATATAGTTTTGTTTATACCAATGCACAAATAAAACGTTAAATACAAAATACCTGATTCTTTGGGGTATCAGTATGATTGCTACAGAGTTCTTCCCATTTGCTGGAGTATTGTACTTCTTCCTGCTACTACATAGTCTACCTCCCAATAGGTCCATTAATCAAATTAAGCGTAGTGACAGACTTGTTTTCCTAAACGGTTTCTGAAGTTGCAGTGGTCTCCTCAACTATCCCCTAAACAACTCAAGTTTCGCTTCAGTGCGTTTGCATGCTCTTACCCTCATGTTCTTCACCTATCTAAAACTTACTCATATTCACACTCTTCATGTAGTTTTCCCCAGTCATTCTGCCTCTAAACTCCCAAAGCATTATCCTTACTACTTAACACTTTGACACTGAATTTTGTAATTTTGGTCGTTAACAATACACCTGGACAGCTCATTTCTCTAAGAAAACTGGATGCAACTCAAGAGCAGGCATTATGTCTTACTCTTTTTTTTTGTATTCATTCATTCAACAAGTATTTGTTGCTTGCCTATTACATGTTGGGCAGTGTTCTAAGCACTGGATATACAATGGAGAACCAAATAGGGTCTGTCCTGTCCTTCATGGAGCTTACAGACTAGTCAGGGATCCAGAACTATTAATAAAACAAATAATCACATCCATAAATACATACTTAGATATTTTATTAAGTTTTTGACTTGAGCAATTGGTGGATAGCAGCATCATTTTCTGAAATGAGACCCACTAAAGAATTAGGTTTTGGATTAGAGGAAAATTGACATTTTGGACATAATCAGTTTGAGAATCCTGTTAGTTATACAGGTGAAGATGCCAAGTAAGCAAGTGACTGTATGAGTCTAGAGCTCAAGTCGAGGTGAGAGATATGTACTTGGGAGTTGCTGCTATCTGAACATTTGTGTCCTCTTCAAAATTCATGTTCAAACTGAATCCCCAGTGCAACAGCATGAAGAGACGCGGCCTCTGGAAGGTGATTAGCTCATGAGGGCTCTTATGAATGGATTAGTGCTCTTATAAAAGAGCTTCAGGGAACTAAACAGTCCCCTTTTTTGTCCTTCAGTGCCTTCTGCCAGTTGGCCACCAAACATGCCAGAACCTTAATCTTGGACTCCTCAGCCTCCAGAACTGTGAGCAATAAATTTCTGTTCTTTATAAATTACCCAGTCTCCAGGATTTTGTTACAGCAGCACAAATGGACTAAGACAGGAGTCACTGGAACATGTGGTTAAAGTTAGGGTGTGAATAAGATCACCTAAAGGGAGAGTAATAGAGAAGGGAAGAGAACCTAACACAGAGCCCTGGAGCATTTGGGCCAGGAAGAAGTCAGGCAGAGGAGATGTTTTTATTGTTTATTTTTTTTGTTTTTTGGAAACGGAGTCTTGCTCTGTCACCCAGGCTGGAGTGCAGTGGCGTGATCTCAGCTCACTGCAACCTCCGCCTCCTGGGTTCAAGCAATTCTCCTGCCTCAGCCTCCCGAGTGGCTGGGACTACAGGTGCCCGCCACCACCCCCGGCTAATTTTTTGTATTTTAGTAGAGACGGGGTTTCACCAAGTTGCCCAGGCTGGTCTCAAACTCCTGAGCTCAGGTAGTCCGCCCACCTCGGCCTCCCAAAGTGCTAGGATTACAGGTGTGAGCCACTGTGCCTGGCCAAGGAGATGTTTTTAACTAGCAAAAATTAGTTTTACATTTTTCTAAGTGAAAGAAGCCAATCTCAAAAGACCACATATTGTATTATTCCATTTACATAACATGTCCAGAATAGGCACACCCATAGTAATGGAAATTAGATTAGTGGGTGCCAGGGGTCAAGGGGAGTGAGGGATGGGAAGTAACTACTAATGTGTACAGATTTTCCTGTGGGGTTATGAAAATGCTCTGGAATTAGTGATGATGGTTGCACATCCTTGTGAATAAAAACTTTTATTGTATGTGAATTATATCACAAAAAGATGTTTTTAATGGTTTTAAAGAAAGCAAGATTAGATACATTTCAAGAAAGAAGTGTTTAACTCTGTCAAATGCTGACACTGTAGGATGAAGACTGAAAAAGGGTACATTCTTTTTACAAGCCAGATGTCACTGGGGACCTTTGCTCGAGCAATATTAGTTGGGGAAACCACGGGAGAAGAACACCAGGCAGGAGTGAGCTGAAGAGTGAATGAGTGGAATAAATACACACATCCAACTTTGCTCCCTCAAACCCCACTAATAAAGAGATTTTTTAAAAGACATAAAGCTATAAGGGCAAGGAGAACGGAAAAGGGGACAACAGTAATGCAACTTTGGAAACTGGAAAGCAGACGGATGACTTGGCAGGCCTAGAAACGCTGAATCGAAAAAGTAAAAGTAGGGAATGCTGAGAACCAACAAAATTAACCCCAAATAATCCTCAAAAGGCTCAGGTGTTAATGACCAGGAATCTCTGGAAGTGAGAATAAAGAAGGATTGCTTGAAACTTTTGGCATCTGACCTTTCCTACTACCTAGGCAGAAGTCTGGAATTCTACTTTCTGTGCAGCATAAAACAGAGGGTCTCTGGCTGCCTGGCTTGAGGGACACCAAGGCATTGTTAAGGATAGCAGTACATACCAGAAACAAGGGTAATACATGAAAATGTATATACTGAATCCTGGGACCATCCTTTCGGCCTTTCCTTCCCCTATCCTTCTTCTTCTGCTCAGCTCCCAAAATGCTGCAGCCAGCCCTAAATCTACCAGGTGGGAGACTAGAGGAGTCTTCTCTGTGGAAACTGACCCAAAGAGGCCGATACCAGGATTTCTCAGCCAAGAGCCCAGTCAGATCTACAGAGAAGTTTGGGGTACACCAGCCCAATCCATATGTTAAGAGCTTCAGATCCACACAAGAAGATAACCAAGGGCTACCAAACACTAAAGAAATTCTCTAACCTTAAAGATAGAAATTAAAATGGGGGGAAGATCTTGACGGAAAATGAGTAGGCC